TTCTAACTCTTTTTACTTCTTTCTATTGTCCTTTTTTTTTATTACTTCCTTCCTAGAGTCCATTGGTTGAGGGTTTCTCAAGATACTCATCAAATTTACCTGAACTAATCAATATAATTGTGTTTCTTATGGATTGGTGTCTTTTTAAAGGTGAATTTGTGTAATTTCTGCACCAAACGAAATTGTACAAATGTTTCCAAACAGATTTCCTAAAGTCTCCTAGCACATTTTCTCATCCCCGTCTTCCATTGTTATGATAAACAGATAGTCCTGTCCCAAACTCACAGTACAAGTTGGACCGCTCAAACAAACAAGAGCAATGTTTTGCAAACTTACACATGGTTTACTTATATTTTCTTTGCATGTTAAACTGGAATTGGGTTATTGTAACATTGCAAAAACTACACACTTCACCATTAAATAATATGTTTTCGTTCCTTAAAGCGTGCACTTTCTGGCTAGGGTCTTAGCACCCTATAGGTCCCACAGGGAAGAGGCTTACAGGGAGAGGTAAAACATCCTGTGGTGGCATAGAAAACGCCTGTGTAACTGGAAGACCTAGTTTTGATAGATACCTTTGATTTGTCCAGTTGTTTGATTGTTTTTGTCAATTGACAAATGGATAGGCTTGATACTTATTCCAAGTGCCCTGTAGAAGTGGTCCTGTAGACTCCAATTGTTTGTGAATGTCGTAGCCAGAGAATGACACACATACTGGCCCCAAAAATCTATTTTAATATTTAAGGCATACTTACATATGCATGTATGTCAAACTAAATGGCATTTGTCAATTTTATTTAAAAAAACATTTTTTAAAACACACCCGCACTTTTAAGCTAAATGCAGTTGATATTTTGTTAGCTAATGCACTGAAGTTCATATGAAGTGTGGCTTTTGGAGGCCACTGTATCAAGTAGAGTTATTGTAGTTTTATCTCTGCCCAGTTCTTGATGAGTCTTTCTCTGTTTAACACACTCTGGTTTCTAATCAACTCTAAATTTATGCTCCTCTCTCTGCATGTTCTTCTCCTTTCTAGGTTTACTGCAGTCTCTTTGTGAACCGTTTGTGTGCATTGCCTCTCAACCGCTAATGCTAACTCTGTGTTTGAGTTGTTTGCACAGTCACTTATTGCTGCATGCCTGACATGTGGTTAGCCCTGATATGGCCTGATGTAGCTGGAGTAATTTGAGCTTGGAGGGCCTAGCAGTGCCCATCACTTATTACTAAGCTGGCATCGAATTGACCCTGTGAAGATGCTAAGATAAAGTTAACAAGTATTAAAAGATTAGTTCATCCAGAATTAAAATTTTGTCATCATTACTCAGCCTTATGTCGTTCCAAAACCCATATGACTTTCTTCTGTGGAACACACAAGATATATATGTATCATGATTTTTTTTTTTTCCATGCATGGTAGTAAATGTGGACTGAGACTTTCAAAAAAAAAAAAAAAAACTGGGGGGGGTTTTTTGCTTTTGAAAAGTATAATGCACTTATTGCTGCATGCCTGACATGTGGTTAGCCCTGATATGGCCTGATGTAGCTGGAGTAATTTGAGCTTGGAGGGCCTAGCAGTGCCCATCACTTATTACTAAGCTGGCATCGAATTGACCCTGTGAAGATGCTAAGATAAAGTTAACAAGTATTAAAAGATTAGTTCATCCAGAATTAAAATTTTGTCATCATTACTCAGCCTTATGTCGTTCCAAAACCCATATGACTTTCTTCTGTGGAACACACAAGATATATATGTATCATGATTTTTTTTTTTTCCATGCATGGTAGTAAATGTGGACTGAGACTTTCAAAAAAAAAAAAAAAAACTGGTGTGTGTTATTTGCTGGAAGTGTTAGTTCTCAAATCTTATTCATTTGTATTCATTCATTTAAAAAAAAACACCACTGGTGCATAACACCAGGTTTCTGTCCTTACTAACGTGACAAGACAAGTATTTTTATTTGTGAAGATTTTAACAAAAGAGATCTGTAGCCGAGGGGAAAAATTTTTTTTTAGTGAATGATCGTATTGCTTTTTGGGATGAACTAGTCCTTTAACATGATCATACAGATCAATCTACAATCCTTATTCTAATTACTGCTGAATGAAGCGGCATGCCAGTAAGTGACTGTACACTTCTGTGTTCGCTTGAGGGCATGTGTTTGATAATGTGTGTGTTTGTGTTCAGTGTGGCCTCCGCCATGCAGACGCCTGCTGACTCCCGATACGAGCGTCTCACCTCTGTGTCCAGCTCAGTCGACTTTGAGCAAAGGGACAATGTAAGTAGCTTGCAAGGTCATTAATGTGGATGCCCATGACTATGTTCAGAATGGAATACACTAGTCTACTTTGTTAAAATATGTATGTAAAACAGCATTCAGTATGCTGCAATGGGCATCAAACTTTAGTTTGCTACATAGAAACTTCTAAATACATCTGAGTTGTACATTCAGAGAATATTCAACATATAGGATTAAACACATTAGATATTTTATGCGCATTACTAAATAGTAAAATGATACTGTGTAAATGCCCATTCACACCAAGAACTATAACTACATTATAAAGATAACTATATTAGTAACTCAAAGAAAACATCACAGTGTGCAGTGTTCTAGTCATTTTTAATGTTTCTAGAGTGAGCCATGTTTGAATAAAGGCTTTTTAACATTTTGGAACTGGAAGAAGTGCCTTGGATCCGTAGTTTCTATAGATATAACTATATTAGTGTCCACACCAACACACAATAACATTCTGTTTATCATAATGTTGATATTATGTTGACATGCTGCAGTTATGTCATCTGCCACTTTGAATCTTCAAGCAATTTAAAGCCGAGTGGATTCTGATTCACTGTAAATATTTTTATCGTTCATCAGTTACTGTAGAAACATTAGTTCTGAAAGTGATTCTAACAATATCCAGTATCCTTATCAGGGATATTATTTATAAAACCAAAGCATAAAATAAGTTATTTATTTCAGTTAACGGCTAATTTATTTCAGCTAGTTGCCAAGGCATAATTTCTAATTTTTTTGTTTTACTTAAAGTACTAAAATAACTAAAACTAAAATAAAAATTAATAAAACCTATATAGACATTAAAAAAAAAATGACAATAACACACTTACAAAATTCCTCAAATTAAAATGAAAAAGGAAAATATAAAAATAAAAGCTAATTCAAAATATTAATAAAAACTATATTATATCTATGATACTAAAATAACACTGACTTATTATAATAGTTACATAGTTATATAATGGTGTGGCATAAAATAAGTTATTTATTTCAGTTAACAGCTAATTTATTTCAGCTAGTTGCCAAGGCATAATTTCTCATTTTTTTGTTTTACTTAAAGTACTAAAATAACAAAAACTAAAATAAAAATTAATAAAACCTATATAGACATTAAAAATTTTTTTTACAATAACACTCCTCAAAAATTCCTCAAATTAAAATGAAAAAGGAAAATATAAAAATAAAAATAAAAGCTAATTCAAAATATTAATAAAAACTATATTATATCTATGATACTAAAATAACACTGACTTATTATAATAGTTACATAGTTATATAATGGTGTGGACTTCCCTATTCTCATAGAATTAGAATGGTTATTAAAACTTTATAGTTATAGATATTGTTACAATTATCGTCCTTGTGTACAGACCTTAAGGCTATATCTGCAATGCTCTTTATGTGAAAGTCAAAGCAGCACATAAGTCGAGAGGTGCAAGCCTCTCAAGAGTCATTTGAAAGGGAGATCATTCTCTAAATAGAAGATGAACTTGAGCGCATTACATCATCCCGGTTTCTGTCCATATAGAAAATCTGCATATTGTTCACAGTATACATACGTACTACAAAAGTATTAAAGGTGCTATAAAAGTTTGCCATTCTGAACATACCCTTTGTCTTCCTTGCTCATGTATTCACTCTTTCACGCTCATGTTCACACAGTCTGAAAAGCGCACGCTTTTGTCATCTACTATAGCTCTGTCCTCCTTAATGCACACACACCTGTGCATTTCATAATAGAACACACGCCTTTTGACAGCCGTTTGTTTGCCTCTCCCTTCCCTGCTGTGATCTGGAATAACTGCACTTATGTAAACTGGTGTCACGTGCACCCACGCTGCCTCTAACAACTCCTTAAACTGCATTAGAGACTGTTAATGTCTCTAAAGGTGATGATACACAGGGCAACTTCTTGAGCAATGTTGCCGTCAGCGGGCAACCAGGTGAGACACAGTGCCCACAACCAATCTAAAGTATCCAGATAGAAATTTGTTGGCCATTTTCAATGGGAAAGTGTCCAAGCAACATTGCCCCGTATATCATCACCTTCAATGTTGAGGTGACTGACAGACAACAGTTAGAGTGCAGTGAATATGATGTTCTTTTCTTTGTCTCCGTTATAGGGCTTCTGTGCCTGGCTAACCGCCATCTTCAGGATAAAGTGAGTCCTTTCTGCATTTACTTTATGAACATACTGTAACTACTGAAATTAAGACTTCCTAATTATTCCAACTGTGCTAAAACATCTCATTGGATTGCTGATCATAAAACCCCAGTATATTAACGCATAACCACATTTACATGTCAGCAGTTCCCAGGGTCCTTTACAAGTTAGAAGTAGAAGGACGCAAGATAGATACTACCATTCCTAAACACCGGAGCAAAATTATTTCAGTTGTTATATAAGAAGATTAAAGCTAAAAGTTTAGTATTATATTATATTATACTATATTCACTGTTATGCACTGTAATCAGATTTTCATCAAATATTTCATTTATAGTGTTTATATGGTGAACTGAATATTGTGCTTGTTTAATGAAATATTAATAGATTATTTTATTATTATTTATTAATATTTTTTGTTTTGTTTGCAAAACTGAACAGACTAGAATAGAACATTTTCTTTCTTTTTTTTTTTTCTTTTTTTGAAGTGATGATAATAATAGTAAATGTAAATCCGAAGCAAATGCATTATAGTTGGGTTTAAAGGTATATTGCTTGTTTTAAGGTATATTGCTTTGTGAATATGGCATTTACCCATTATTCAAATGAAGTTTAAGACAACTGGCTAAAAATGTTAATGTTATACTGACATATCTCTCTCACCTTTACAGAGATGATGAGATCAGGGAGAAGTGTGGTGAGGATTCCGTGCACTACCTCTCATTCCAGCGGCACATCATTGGTCTGTTGGTAGTGGTGGGCGTGCTCTCCGTGGGCATCGTCCTGCCCGTCAACTTCTCAGGAGACCTATTAGGTGAGTCAGAAAAGTTTGAGAACGAGTCATCTAGGATTACACATCTGAACACAGCCATTCGAGTTTCGCTTCCTGTAGTTTATATGACTAAAGACTCCCTATGACCCATTTCTTATCTTCTCTTTCTCCAGAAAATAATGCCTACAGTTTTGGGCGAACTACAATAGCCAACTTAAAATCTGGGTAAGCCCGGGTAATATGACACTATGAAATAACTCTTGAATGACTGTTGATGAATGAATCATCCATTTGTTTTTGCTCTCTTTCAGTAATAACCTGCTATGGCTGCACACTACATTTGCCTTCTTATATCTGTTACTGACTGTGTACAGCATGAGGAGACACACATCAAAGATGCACTACAAAGAGGACGACTTGGTGAGCAGAGACAACTTCACCAAAACACTGCACAGAAATGTTCTGGGTTCAATACAAGTTCCAATCTACGGCATATTTGTCATAATGTTCTTTACCACATAAAATAATCATAATAAACATAACATATGAGCATCACATTTCTGGTTTTAAGCCCTCCAGAACACTGGCCCATTTTAAAGTTTTACCTCAGTTGTAAGTGCCTTACAGTAACCACAATTTGTATCGAACCAGGAACATTCATTTATTTTCAGATTTTAACCTAAACCCATATTCATCATTACTCAAATATTTCTCTTTCCCGCTATGGACCTTAATCAGAGTAAACATCCCACTGCAACCCACTTTACTTGCATAATCTAGCATATTTTTGAGTGAAACGGGATATTTAACACGAAAAAAAAAAATGAAGAGTGGAACTTGGGAATTGATTGGGTTAAAAAAAAAAATGAAAAAGTGGTTGCAAAAAAAAGGTTGATGATGGTGAAGTTCCAGATGAAAGACTGCAATATATATATATATATATATTATAATGTGCACAGATGAATCGTCAAACAATGTAAAACTGCTTGGTTATTTCAATATTTTTAACAATGCAAACAGACTGTACGTCTGTCTCTTCACAGACTCATACTTGGTGTCAAATGAAATATGTCTCTCCTGACTAAGGTTCATAGTTTAGTGCTGTGTAATATTGCTCTGTTAATGGGGATTAACATAGAGCATCAATCAATATTATAGTTGAAAGGATAATAAATAAACTCTGATGTCTCCAAATTGTCTCCATTCACAGGTGAAACGCACTTTATTCATTAACGGGATCGCAAAATATGCAGAAGAGAGTCAAATAAAGCAGCATTTCGAGTAAGTTCTTACTGAAAATGCGCATTTTATGTCACAGTGTTAATTAGGATATGCCTTCCCATCAGCTGTAAGGGTGAAGTGTGTATTTATGCACCTGTATGACTCGCTTTCCTTTGTAGAACATTCAAAGAAAATATTTTGATAAATGTCTAATCCAAGTCAGTGGGGTCCAGTGTTGTCTGCTGAACCATTTGTTGGATCTCATTTTGTGTTCTGCATAAGTAAGTCATTCAGTTTTGGAATGACATGAGGGAGAGTAAATAATGACAGATTATTTTTCATTTTTGGGTGGACTATCCCTTTAAGATTCCCCAATCTTAGTCCTGAGACGTGGCCCACGTAAGACAATGACAAACTTTTTTGTTTTAATTGGTCTAAAGTGGTCATGTGGCTACAAGATGCTCAGCGTGTCCATCCACTCAGTTTAACTAATCTCATTTACTGCTAAAGAATGTGCGGGGACAATACATGTCTTTAACTACTTCTGAGTCAAGGATTTCTAGTATAAGGCTGTGGGGCCAAAGTGACAATTGAGAAAGAGAAATGAGGATGTGTAGATAGAGGACAGGGAGGAAGAAAAGAGCAAACACAAATGAGAGCAGAACAGATATCAGACTCACAGACGTCTCAAAGCATATTGCAGTCTGTCCTACTGCAGCCAACTGGGAAAAGAGTCATCAGTCCTTTAGACTCCCACAGATCTATTACTTTAGGACGGATGGAAATTTTGACTTAATAGTGTACACATTATACTCCACTAATGTCTTCAGTGTTGTCTGTACATCATCTCACAGAGACTGCTGTGTCATTATTTAAAAAGCCTACCAATTTGTTGTATGCCAGTCTACTATTTTGGTACCATTGATTTTAGATTTACTCACCCTTATGCATCGCATAAAAAGAAACAGTGGCTGGTCATTTTACATGTCGGTCAGTTTCTTCCTGTCTAAGTGAGCCATTCTTGGCCCGCGTAAAGTACAGTGTGCGCCAGACAATACTGAAGCCTGGCTCCTGCAAGTTTTGTCTCTCTTACACTTTTTTTCTCCTTTTCATCTCTTTGTGTTCATATCCAGGAAAGCATATGAAAACTGTGTGGTTCTGGATGCTCGCATTTGTTACGACGTTGCCAAGCTTATGTCCCTGGAGTCTGAAAGGTACAAATTTTACAAGCTTAGTTTAGACAAGTTTCAGTCACCATTTTAAGTACTGTACACAAGGAACTTTCTATGAATAAGGTACAGATTTGTGTCCGATTCCTTTTTTTAAACAGTATTTTATATAGTTACATTTTCATGTTTTTACTGTACATTGCTACATTGACAATCACCCAAACCTAAGTTTTAAGCCTCATTTAAATAAAAAATAATAATAAAATGACTCCTTTACTATTTATTTTGACCTCTTGAGGTCAAACTAAACAGTATTTTCTGTCTGAACAACATTCTGCTTTCAATGACCCTTTGATGAAAAAGAACAAAAATTGACTTAAATTGACCTTAAATTGTACCTTCTTTATGGAAATTGCAACTAAAATGTTTTGGAAGTAAACTTCACAGTCAGGCTCAATTCAATGTTCTTGACTTTGTCTTATTCAGGAAAAAGGCAGAACGCAGCAAAAAGTTCTACACAGACCTGATGGCCAAGGAGCACATCCCCACTATGATTAACCCCAAACCCTGCGGCCACCTCTGCTGCTGCATCATCGCGGGCTGCGAGCAGGTCAGGTCAAATCCAGTATAACCTCTCAAGTTTCAACCCAAAGTGTTTTGAATAGTAGTGGGTTTCTAGATCTCTCATTGGTAAATGACTGATCATGCATTTCACTTCACATTCAAATATAAATCAGAAATGCATGAACTGTCATCATGAATACACAACTTTTTCCCATCAGACACGCAGTCAGTGTGTCACATCCTCTGTCTCGTGTTCTGCCTGTAGCTTCATTATATTTACAGTCAGGATGATGTACGCTCTGCTGCTGTGAGACATGTTCAACATCAGCACAGGTTTATTCAGCAGCTCCTAAGCTACTTATTAGATAAACAGATTTCCCATTTGTCACTAGTCATTTTTCTGTAGCACTTCATGTCCCCCTGCTGGCCGATGACTGGAATGCTGTAGTCAGTATGGCTGCTGGAAAAACAAGCTCTTAACTGGCAGGCTTACAAAGCATTAAAGGGGTCATATGATGCTTTTTTAAAGATCATTATTTTGTGTATTTGGTGTAATAGAATATGTTGACATGCGGTTTGTTGATTAATTGTTGACTTGAAGCATTGAGAAGTAACAGAATTCAAAGGGACAGTCACCTGACGTTAACACTGTAAAGCCCGACATATGAAATAATAGTCAAATAAATCTCAAATAAAATTAAAAAAAGTTTGCATATGTGTTTTTGTTGAGTTGATCTTATTTGATACATCAGGCAGAAAAAAATCAGAAGGAAAAACCTCCTCCGTTTTATTCAGAGGCCCAAACTGAGCAAAAATATGCAATTTGGTGCAGATGCTGATATTTATATGGCCAAAAAGTAAGATAAAATGAAGATTATATATAAATGAATGTCTTTAAAATCAAGTGCATTTTAACTCTTGTAATGCTAATCCATTCCTGCAGGAAGAGGCTGTGAACTACTACACTAAGCTGGAGGCCAAACTGAAGGAAGAATACAGAAAAGAACGAGAAAAAGTCAACACTAAACCTCTGGGAATGGCTTTTGTTACCTTCCAGAATGAAGCCATGACATCCCTGTAAGTCTAATAGACGTTTTGGTCTTTGTGTGTGAATAAAACGCTAACCAAAGAGTATCATTGTGGTACTAGCTGTTCTTAGAGGTAAAATTGCACATGAATATTGTGATCATTCAGTATCATGGTATTACCTTCTGATATCATCATGTTACCATCACAATACTTTACCAGAAGGAAAAATCATATTAATATCTGATTTTTTACCCTTCCCAGCATCCTGAAAGATTTTAACGCATGTCAGTGTCACGGCTGTCACTGTCGACGAGAGCCAAAGTCCTCCCCCTTCAGCAGCCTTCTCAACACGTACAACTGGACAGTCACATATGCTCCAGATCCACAGAACGTTTACTGGTAACATCCTCATCCTAAATCTCATGAATTCATTATGAGCGTAGTCTCACAGAGCTAGACTTTGGACATAAAGTGGGATCCACTTTGCTGTTTCATTCTGGCCAAGAAATACCCACTTAGACAGGAAAGACTGACCACAGTTAGTTGTTTTTACATGCATGTAAATCTGAAATCGATGATTCCAGAATAATAATTCATTCTGAGCTGGATCTATAATGCATATTATTGCTAAATGATATTGCTATTTCATATGCAATATGCATTAGATTGTGCAGGTTTGTGGGCTATTTTTGGAGACCGTGATCAAGTTGCATATTGTTTCAAAGTAGATTTACAGAACATCATGATGTTAATGTTTATAATATCTTAATATCTTCATGCCTTATAGTTGCATTTAGCAGATTAGGGCTGTGCGATAATATAGTTTACATTTTGCAATGATACAATCAACCTATATTGCTTGATTGCTATACTATGTTGCAATATAGTATATATCGGCCAACACAAGTATACTGTGTGTATGTGGATAAATTTGTACATAATGGCATATTCAACTTTATATAAAGAGCTGGACGATAATATAGTATAATAAAACAAAAAATCAGCAGGTGAGATTTGATATACAAGTATATATTCCTTTACGTGAGTGTACTATATGTATGCAAATAAAGTTGGATAAATAATATATATTCAACTTTACATATAGAGCTATATGATAATACAGTTTACAGTTTTGCAACAATATAAACAATCATGCTGGTGAGATTTGCTATATAGTATAGATTGCTCTATGTGAGTATACTGTATGTTTGCAGGTAATGGTGGATGTACTATACTGTGGGGAAGTCGTGGCCTAATGGTTAGAGAGTTGGACTCGTAACCCAAAGGTTGCGAGTTCGAGTCTCGTACCGGCAGGGATTGTAGGTGGGGGGAGTGAATGTGCAGCGCTCTCTCCCACCTTCAATACCACGACTGAGCAAAAAAATGGCTGCCCACTGCTCCGGGTGTGTGTTCACTTTGGATGGGATAAATGCAGAGCACTAATTCCGAGTATACTTTATATATAAGAATCGAGTGGTTGAGATTTGCTATATAGTACATACCACTTAACGTGAGTGTACTGTATGTATCCAGTAGGGCTGGGCGATATAGCTAAAAAATTTATATCTTGATATGTTTCAAAATTTTGACAGTCATTGATATATATCAATATTCTTCCATTTGCTCCATGAAAAAAACATGATCTTTGGAGAACAGCTATTGAAAAACATCTGATGTGTAACATTATATTAGTTCTATGCATTACAGTAGGTCTTAATATATAGACCGTCTGTCTCATTAATGTTAATCAAACAATAAAAGAAAAGAGGGAATCACTCGCTGCTCTTGATTGAACTACTTGATTTGTAATGAATACATTACATATAGACTATGCAGTGATTTTTACATTTGATTATTTGTTTTTCTTACCTGAATGATTCTGTTTAGATGTAAAATGAAGAAAGTAAAGCAGTGTTAATTTAATTAGTTTCTTATATTTGTACTACTGTTTAAAGTAACAAAAATATATTATGATTAATATAGTTATTATTATTATTAAGAAAAAAATTGGAGGAAAAGATGCATCATGATGCATCAAGAATCGTTTTATAGTCGAATCATTACCCTCCAAATCGTAATCGAATCGAATCATGAGGCAAGTGAAGATTCACACATCTTCTGTGATTGGTCAAAACACCCCACATGGTGCATTGTGGGATCATGGAAAAAAAGTTGAACATATATTTTGTCCATATCATTTTGAAGGTTTTTTTTTAATAGAGAATGGGAAAATTACAATAACTCATTATTGAACATTTGCTCATTGTGACTCATTTTGCCAGCACGGGTCACATATAGTAGTTGTATAATTCATTACATAAATCGTGACTCGTACCTTGTTTTTCACAGGGAGCATTTGTCCACTGGTGGCCTCAACTGGTGGCTCCGCTGCTTTATCATCAACTGCTTTCTCTTCATCTTGCTCTTCTTCCTCACCACCCCTGCCATCATCATCTCCACCATGGACAAGTTCAACGTCACCAAACCCGTGGAGTACCTGAACGTAAGGAGTCTGTTAAACTGGGTGTTAATGAGCATCAAATGCAGTGTGATTATTGGGTCATGATTCTGTCACTCATCACCTCCCTTCCTTCCCCCATGTCTATTCCTCCAGAACCCTATCATCACTCAGTTCTTCCCCACCCTGCTGTTGTGGTGCTTCTCGGCCCTTCTCCCCACCATCGTCTACTACTCCGCCTTCTTTGAGGCCCACTGGACACGGTACAATGCCAAATTCTGTATATCCATGTATATCCATTTTTATGACCTAGAACTAAACCATTTTCTGGTGGTCCCAAGCTCAAAATATACATGACTTTTCCTTTTAGATCTGGAGAGAACAGAACCACCATGCACAAATGCTACACGTTCCTCATCTTCATGGTTCTGCTGCTGCCATCTCTAGGACTGAGCAGGTATTTTATAACACTCGGTTTACATAGAAAAGTTAGAAATACAGCTGTTATGCTAGACAAAATACAGTTATCCCATCCTAGCTTTTAAAATGCCTTAAAATAGCACTGACTGAAAATAGTATTACATTTTCGAGACATATTATATTCAGGTATTTCGTATTAGGTATCAACATTCATCAGCAATATTTCACAAAACTGTTACTTAGTCCTAATTTTACGTTGTTTTATTAAGTAATATGTTCCTGAATAAACAACCTTTCAACAAAAGGCTGAAAATTACCAACCATTAAGTTTTTGACATAACATGCTAATTTGTGCGATTTGTATATTTTAACTTGAAATAATAGTAATTTGTATCATTGAAAAATCTTTTTCAATACAAATATTGCCTTTTTGTGTATTTTCACATCAAAAAGATTCTTTCTGATTATAGGAAATGGAAAACATCTAAACTTTTTATCCTGGTTGTGTTTGCCGTGTTGCCTCATTTCTCATTTGTATTAAACATTTCACATAATCTTTTCCAAAATGCAGTTTGGATGTTTTCTTCCGCTGGCTCTTTGACAAGAAATTCCTCGACGAGGCAAAAGTCCGATTCGAGTAAGTCCATGAGAGGATTTGCAGCTCTAAAATCCTGTGTCACAGGGGTTGTTGTTACGAAAACATTTGGTTTATGCATATTAAAGTTTTATGGCTTGATTTCTTTTTTGTCTCTATTAGGTGTGTCTTCCTTCCAGATAATGGAGCTTTCTTTGTGAACTATGTCATTGCGTCTGCCTTCATTGGTAATGCCATGGACCTGTTACGCATTCCTTATTTCCTTATGTACATGATCCGGCTGTGTCTGGCACGTTCAGCTGCCGAGAGGCGCAACGTGAAGAAGGTCTGTAGAGTTTCAAGTACAACGGTCATTATACTCACCCTTACTGTTACGCTATTATGCTCAATAACTCATATCCTCATGCATGGTTCCATTTTGTTACAGCATCAAGCTTATGAGTTCCAGTTTGGAGCTGCTTACGCCTGGATGATGAACGTCTTTACTGTGGTCATGACCTACAGCATCACCTGTCCAATTATTGTACCATTTGGTGAGAGACATTTCTCGCTGAAGAACTATAAAGAATTCTGGCATCATGGTGGCACGTTTAACACAGTACGATTTTAATTTTGTCTGCAGGACTGATGTACATGCTACTGAAGCACCTGGTGGACAGGTATAACATGTATTATGCCTACCTGCCCTCCAAACTGGATAAGAAAATCCACTCTGGAGCTGTCAACCAGGTAGTGGCAGCACCCATCCTCTGCCTTTTCTGGCTGCTCTTCTTCTCTACTGTCCGTACAGGTAAGTCAATGGCAGATAGTGGGTCTGTTCTAAACCCTAGCAAGCTGCCTACCTACACAGCATTTTAGGCATCATAGGCACACTGTGTGGATGCAATGATAGTTCCAAACAGTAGGCAGCAAGGTTGCTCACTTGCACTTGGAGAGTATTGTGGCCCAGTGGAAAACCAGGTTGAGAATCAGTGCTCTAGATGTAACTGTAGAAAGATTATTGTCATAACTCTAAAATGATTTTTCTTCCTCTTCTCTGTTCTAATGTGATTTTTGTTCTCTTCTCTCTTGATTTCCTTGTTACATTTTAAAGGTTTTGTTGCTCCGACATCAATGTTTACCTTTGTGGTTCTGATCATCACCATCATCATTTGCCTCTCCCATGTCGTCTTCGGTCATTTCAGATACCTCAGTGCGCACAATTACAAGGTCAGAAATAGCTCTGTCTGTTTGATTATTTGTTTTTTATAAATAAATCCAAGCACAGAACTTTCTCTAATCTGCAGTGTGATTTTTCCTGAATTCTCTACAGATCGACATGGACGGTGTGGACAATGGACGACCACCAGATTCATCTCAACCTGTTAAGTCTGTGGTAAGTTTTAATAATCACATCAGTGTCTCACACATCATGAGCACGAAAGCTTTATTACACCCCTAATTTTTAGCATTAACAGTATTTATTTAGTAGTTATTCATCTGGCATCAACAAAATTCGATATTGTCACATCTGATTTTTTCCCACTTTACATCTTCTCTCTTTGTATTCTATATCAGCAGACGTATGTCGCCCAAGTGCTACAGGACCCAAACACAGACGAGACGGGAAGTGGCGAGGACGAGGGGCAGGGGTCATCGCAGGATGAGGAGGGGGTGAACGAGGGTGATTTCCAATCAGGAGAGGACAGCCTTATTGAGAACGAGGTGCACCAGTGACCCAGGCAGGGTCACGCTATGTGCTGAACTTGGCAGGACTTTAACATGATCAAACGGAGATCCACTACACCTCACTTCACTTACTGAGCGTGTGAATCCATCACAGCTGACAGCTAAAACACTCATTTATCATTGAGGCTTGGAGACAGGATGGCCAATTGTCAAGAATTTGGAGTGGCTTGTGATTGTACTCCACCTATTTGAAACGGAGTTTCACAGTTCTTCTTTACATTGGTTACCCTGTTTGTACGGCATAGTGTTGTCAAAAGTACCGACCGCGATACCAGTCGATACTGAAATTTTAAAAACGACAATTTCCCGCTAACATTTGAGCGCTATTGAGCAGATTCTTAAACACCGCTGATTGGCCATTGTGTTCAAGTGCTCAACAGATAAGACTGTGATTGGCAACAATGGTCATCGCTTCACGCTCTTCACCGAGCTCTTACACAGATACACACGGGAGCGTTTGAAAGCTGCGTCTATCAGAAGATCCCTAATATATCTGCACATAGACGGATCCTCTGATAGACGCAGCTTTCAAACGCCCCCGTGTGCTTCTGTGTGAGCGCTTGGTGAAGAGCGTGAAGCGATGATCATTGTAGCCAATCACAGTCATATCTGTTGAGCACTTGAACACAATGGCCAATCAGCGGTGTTTAAGAATCCGCTCAACAGCGCTCAAATGTTAGCGGGAAATAGACGTTTTTAAAATTTCAGCACCGACTGGTATCACGGTCGGTACTTTTGACAACACTAGTATGGCGTTTGGTAGATACCGAGTTTCTTGCCGTTACAAGCGCATGTCTAGTAAATAAGACCAAAAACAGTAATGATTACTCATAATTTGCAATTAAAAATTTTAATTTACCTATGTTATGATTAATTAAAACAGATATAGTGCTATCTCAGCTGGGCAAGAAAATTGTATATTAGGGTGGATTTCACATATACACTTACAGTCTCCAAACCTTTTACATAAAGAAAATATTAAAAGATTTCTTCTTAGGAAAAGAGTTACGTAGAATAATGTTCAGTTAACAGTTTGGTGACAGTTAAAAGCAAAATTAGATATATATGGCAACTATGATTTAATCAATCAGAATCAAGTATTTCAGACAGCCATGTGATCATTTACAATCATTTGTTTTTAAAGCCCTAGCAACACCATTTCATGTTTACCATCTGTAGTACATAAAAACAGATAGGCCCAAAACATTTCAGTGATGGTGAATCACTATCACAATTTATCAAATTTTGTGAGAAATCATATGTATTAGAAATGCTTGTGGAATAAACATCAGTCAGCATGACTGATTCAGTTTTGATTTGTTATTTTCTTTGTCCCAGCTGAAATGGCACTACAGCACGATGTATTTGAAGATGAGCAAATTAATGCAACTTTCATTCTTCTCTACCAAAGCCAATGTATTCAACATGAAGACCATTACTAGTTCCTCTTGTATTAGTAATTGTTGTAAAAACAAAAGGATCGAAAAACTCACTCCAGCCTGCTGAATTAACCAACTGTGAGGAAAACAGCCACCGAACACTAATTGTCTCACCATATACTTGGACTGGAAAAGCCACTTTTAGACTCAAAGGCACATCACCATCCCTGGAACTATTCTCCTGTCTACCCTTACGTCTTCTGTGCATCCAGTGTTTAAATGTGGTATGACGCGACTTTCTGAATCAGGCATCAAATGGACCGACATTAAATTGTGTCGCTCTACTGTGGAATGTTCTGTCAATAACTGATACTGTAGCAAAAAAGAACTTAAACGCACAGCAAATTCCCTATGTGGGCTTAAAGGCGGAATTTGTGAATGTGAATATTTTTTTTCTTTTTGTTATGCATGGGTATGAAATTATGGTTTCATCAGGTTTTGGTGATTTGTTTTTTGTTTTCTTTTTTTATTGCCACTAACAAGTGATGTACACATTACCATTTTTGATCATTTAACATTTTACTACTCATAAATACTGTAAAGAGTGCATGGAAAACATAACCAGAAATCCCTGAACATCCTGAAAGTTGGGTTTATGATGATAGCAAGATTGCATTGGGTCATATATCAATATGTGTCTTGATTATGGCCGCCTTTATTGCTATAGTGGTGTGTTCCTTGCAATTGTACAAGAGAATGAGAAATAACAGACTCTGTTCCATGTTTCTTCTTACCTGTGGCCATTTACAAGCTTTTCGCTGACACTCTTGCAGTTGTGAGCTAATTTGACTGGGTTTATGCATCATTTAGTGGTTGAAGTCTGGAAAAAAAAAAAAGAACACAAAAACTAGTACATTGACCACTATTTCTTAGCCACGTTTTTTTTTTTTGTCAACTACACTCTTTATATCTGTTTTGTCACCATGCTCAGACATTTTTGCTACTGTGTCCATTATATACATAATGCATTTTTGTGTTTTTTGTGCAAGTCAGAACTGGAAACAAAATATTTTTTAGTTTTTCTTTCAAAAATGAGCAGACAAAGGCTGTGCCTGAGTACTTGCTTTAAAAAAAAAAATTCTTTGTCCAACCTCTATATGGTTGATTTTTCCTGCTAGTGGACTTAAATAGTTCTCATTGTGTCATTTATTGTTTACAGGAATAGCAATGCAGTGTTTAAACTGTCATTTTTTGCAACAAATGTTAACTTGAAACAGTTGTCGGGTGTTTGCAAACTTGTGAATTAAACATTAGTAAGCTAATTAGTGATATTTTTAGTTAATTTATGTAAATCACACTAATCTACCAATCTATCACTGAGGAGCTTGTAACTTTTAAATGCAAATAACACTGTAGGCTATGCACTTCATGTGAAATATGTAACATTATCATGGTGTATGTAACAATATCAAGCCATTTTTGTCAGTGATCTTGTTTGGACAACACTGAGTAACTGCAGTGCTTTGTAAGTCTGATGCTCTTGCTGCTTAGATACTGTAGGTGATGACTGCATCCTGGATCTATTTAAGGAAAAACACTGTTTCAAGCATGATGCGGCAATAATTTATTTATGCATCTTTATAGGCTTTTCCCATTGGTTACAGATGTTGTCCACAATATTTATTTCATTTGTCTATTACTTTTCCATCTTTTGAATTAACCGGCCATTGGCCTGGAGTGAAGTGGATAAATCAGTGTAATATTTTTGTAAATAGAAGCATTGCGCTGCTCTTGGAATACTAAACTGTATTTGCATTTGTACAGCTTAGCCAGCAAAACCATGTACAGTCGACCATGAATTTTGCTTTTGTCCATTCAGATTTCCCTTAGGATCGTACTTTGCTTGCGATTGCTGTTTTTAATAGTTTTGTATCTCAACCTCCGCTCAAATGATCTTTTGTAGTGGCATCCTCAAACTCTTCCATGTCTTTGAACAATAAAATAGACTGACAAAACCATATAAAGTGTCATGAAATGTCATTTACAAAGAAATACACTAACTGTGTTTCACTTAAATATAGTCATATGGGCTGTTTTATTCTATTCTAGTTAAAATTGCTGTCGTCGATTGAATTCTTTGCTAAAAAGCAATGCTGATTTTGGCACATTGTGTAAAAAAAAACATTGTTGATCTCAAAAAATATATATATCTGCTTCCAAATAGATTTAAAAATGTATAAAGGAAAATGTCTCAATATGCAAGTGTAAAATCTTCATGATTTTCTTATAATAATACGGTTTTAAAACACTCTTTTACTCCTTTAAGGAGTCATGATGTTATTTTATGGCAGCTTTCTTTTCTCTGCAACGAAATAGTAAGTTACAATCTTTGACCTCTCACGTGTCTTGTGATGTGTCTCAAGAGAAAAGGAAAACAGGAACAGGGAGTCATAAACTGATATCCGGTTCACTACTGAATCTTTCATTTCAACCGATTCTTTGCAATGATTCGGTCAAAACATTAGACTGCATTTGGCGTCGGCAAAAAGTGTTGTTTACCAATATTATTACCTAGAGAAAGAGATAAAGGTCATGGTTGTCTTTCTATATTTCTTTATATTAATTAATTAATTATAATATCAACGTTCTGAATTAATATAAACGTTCTGAATTCAAATCGTCTGTATGAACCTGATAACCGGCATATTAACAGCATTCCAGTCGTGTTATTTTATTTAAAAATTCACATTATGTATATAACTTACACCTAAATGTTCTTATGATAATATTCTCAGTGAATATGTATTTAGTTTAGAAGTAATTTGTGAAGAAAAGGCGTCTTACCTCAGACGGTGCGCGTGTGATCTAAAGTTAATCAGTTCAACGGCTTTTACGATTTGAAATTTAGGTCACGTGCCTATTTAAAACGCGTAATAACAGTCACAAAGTTTAAATAATATGAATATTCACAATTTACTTATATACGTCTTGAAGAAAGTTTTATTTATTTCTACAAATAACGTTCCCCAAACGTTGCAATGTGGTTATATTTTGGCATTCACTACGTATTCACAAACGTCTCGTTCAAATATACTGATTACGTTATTTAAATATACATAAATCGAATTATACTGATACATTTTGTTATGCTTTGTATTCATATAACCCAATAGTGATGACATACTAATAAACAGCCATTTTACTACAAAATTGACGCGTAAAATCCCCAGGGTCTTTCTGAGGACACTGACTCGGTTCGTTCAATAAAAGTAACCGATTCTCTCAAATGAATCGGACTCTCCCCTGAGCATTAGTATCATTATGTAATGCTGTTCATCTGACTCTAGGGGTGTAGTTTAGGGTTTTGGAGGGTTATGGAGGGTGTTGAGACGTGGAGAACTCCACTATGCCTTCCAGCGAGTGCTCAAAGAGGATATTGTGTCTTGCTTTTGTGTTTTAGGGTGTTTGTGATCGGAAGGGCTGAAGAGCAGAAGCAGTCATGGACGGAGCTTGGGCTGTTATTCTCATATCTCTGGCTATGTTCGTGGGATGTTTCGTGCTCGGGATAATTCCACTGTTGATCAATTTATCAGAGGTAAGATGATCAATATGCATATTCAACAAATGCTGATACGTTAACTTTATACAGTACTGTAAAGCAGAGCATAAATGCAGATAAAAACAATGCTTACACACAATACAACACATGGAAATTGTAGCATGCATTACAAATGAAGTGTAACTATATCAGTAAGGTTTTTACTATACTTTGTGCTCTGCCCAGTGTATCGTTAGCTGGTTGTAGTCTCTGCATGTGATAGTTTCTGCTTTCCACCTGTAAATCTCTCCGTAGCAAACTCAATTAAACTCCTTAGACTTAGAATTGTATATACTGTAAAACATAAAAGTCCATGACTATGAACAGC